ATGTATACTCCGTGGTTTGTTGGAATTACCAAGGATGCAAATTGTACTTGACTGAGTTCAGCTAGGAATTCACGCTTTCAAAATAGTAATATTTCTCCCTAGAATTATTTATACGATGTATTTTGTAGCTTAGTCGTGGACTTAACCATATATAAGTGGCTTCCTTTCATTCTTGTATATAACCTAACATTGTTTTCACCAAGAAAAACAGGCGAGGTTTAAATTTCGAAATATATCAGTTGCTCACACTTCGTATATACTATTTCAAAACTCTTGTTTGTAGGTTTCTTCTTGGATCAGAGCCTATATCCAGGCCTTTTTTCTTCATATTACTCTCATCGGCGCTTTCGCCCCTATTCTTCAATGTCAGAAATTTCGTCCAACCAAGCTACAAAAATTTATTACTACGAAATATAATTATTATTGGTTAATGGCGGCGTTAGCAAGGTTTTAGACTGTAGCTGAAACGCCAACATCCTCACAGATATCACTAGCAAAGAAATAATCACCGACAGGAAACCCACCAATGGAACACCAGCACTGGAATCGGACAACAGAACCGCCCCATTCCAAGGATTTTACTACTTTGGAAAAAGGCGGTTATGGCGTGAGCAAGTTTTAGGACTTGCCGAAAGCCAAGATCTCACAGAACACATCACTGAAGAACCCCCAATGAACCCAGCCGGATCGGACAAAGCCACAGATCAGGCCATTCAAAATTTTACGACTTGGCAAAAGGCGGATCGATTGCTTCGTGGATGGATCATAGGGACTCTCTCAGAAGAATCCCTTGGTCTAGTGATTGGCCTTGACACAGCGTTTGCTGTGTGGAATGCTTTAAAAGAATCATACGCCCAAGTTTCTCAAGAAAGGGAGTTTACACTCCGTCAACAACTAACCTACCTTCGCAAAGATGAAACTGTACCCATCACCACTCATATTCGCCAGTTTAAAAATATTTGCGACAGTTTAGCCGCAATTGGCCGCCCCATTTCAGAAAAAGAAAAAATTTACAGCCTATTAGCCTTGGTTTTCAATATGAAACTTTCACAACCACCATGTTGAAACCCCCAACTCCGTCTTACACTGAATTAATTTCCCAACTTCAAAACCATGATCAACGGCGAACCTGGTTCGCAAACTCTGGAAATTCGGCCTTGGCTACTCATACTCCACATTTGGCGTTTTATGCACAATCAAAGAGAGACCAACAGTTTGGTGTGTCAAAGTCCAACTATGACTCAAAAAATTTTCGCTCATCTTTTTCTTCTGCAGGGCGTGGATTTCAAGCACAGAATCAAGGGAATTTTTCAGGCCAAACACGACGACCTGCACCACCTGGAAAACGAAGGATGACAGTAGCAGAACACGAACTTTATCGAGATGAAACCTGTCAAATTTGTAGCAAAAAAGGACATATTGCGAAAATTTGCTGGTGGATCCCTTCTTCAACACCCACAGAATCCCTTCCACAAGCTCTGGCGTCTTTAACACTAGATAATAGTATTCGTGACCATGATTGGACGTCCGATACCGGTACTACCAATTATATGACTGGTAATGAAGGTATGGTATCTAGTCTATACAAATATACAGGTAGCGATTCTGTAATTATAGGAGATGGTTCTTCCATCCCTATAGCAGGTGTTGGAACTGCTGAAATTTATAAGAATAATAATGTTCTTCCTTTATCTGAGATTTTGTATGTTCCTAGCTTAAAAAAGAATTTACTATCAGTAAGCAAGTTAACTTCACAATTTCCAGTAAATTGTGAGTTCACTAACGATTCGTTTATTGTGAAGGAACGTTGTAATTTATAGAGATGTTCTTCTCAATCCCTAATGCCCAGTGTTTGGATACTGCTGGAAATAATAAAGAATAATTAATGTTCTTCCTGTCTTATCTTGAATTTGGTAATGTTTCCTAGCTTAAAAAAACGAAAGAATAATAATGTTCTTCCTTTATCTGAGATTTTGTATGTTCCTAGCTTAAAAAAGAATTTACTATCAGTAAGCAAGTTAACTTCACAATTTCCAGTAAATTGTGAGTTCACTGACGATTCGTTTATTGTGAAGGAACGGAAGACAGGCGCAACAATCATGCAGGGACCAAAGAAGGGTGATTTGTATATGATTTCCAGTAGTCCTGAGGCTAATTTTTCATTTCATTTCAAGTCTTGTAGTGCCGATGTGTGGCACCAATGTCTAGGACATCCACAAATATCTGCTTTAAATAATCTACATAATAAAGGCCTCATCTCTATTAGAGGACCATTAAAAATAAACCAAGTTTGTGATAGTTGTCAGCTAGGGAAACTCAGCAAATTTCCTTTTTATAAAAGTGTTAATTCTGCTACAACTCTTTTTGAAAAAATTCATTGTGATTTATGGGGTCTAGCCCCAGTTCTGTCAATTGAAAAATTTAAGTATTACGCTTGTCTTGTCGACGATTTTTCCAAATATGTGTGGATCATACCCTTACGCTTAAAATCTGACTTTTATTCGGCTTTCCTTGCTTTTGAAAGTTACATTAAAAGACAATACAATGCTGTTATAAAAGTTTTTATGGATAAAAGTTTTCCCAATCTGCATGGCGGAGTGAATTTGTTTAATTCTGGCTTTGGCTGACATTGAATTTGTTAATTCTGCTTTGGCTACACACTTTCTTAAAACTGGTATAGTTCACCATATTTCGTGTCCATATACACCAGAACAAGCTGGAACAGTTGAGCGTCGACATCGTATAATTCGTGAGTTGGGAATGTCCATGTTATTTCACAGCCGTCTTCCCTTATCTTTTTAGTTTAATGCTTTTTCAACTGCAGTATATTTAATTAATAGGCTTCCATCATCATCAATTTGTTTTGAGTCATCATTTTATCAATTACATCATAAGCATCCTGATTACTCTGTTTTACGGGTATTTGGGTGTAAATGTTTTCCGTATATTTGGGATACAAGGAAAAATAAATTTGACCCAAAGTCTGTTCTTTGTGTGTTTGCAGGCTACAGTGTTCTTTGATGTTTTTTGCAGGCTACAGTGATAAATACAAGCTAAAATCAATGTATCTGATTTATCTAGGGTTAACTCTGGGAAATATCAGTAATATTTACAGAGCATGTAGTTGTTCGACACGTTGAGGCCGCTGTTTCCAGGCATGTAGTGTTCGATGAGGGCTGTTTTCCTTATAAATCAAAAGAAAAAAATGCATCTCAATGTGCAGAACAAGTATTTGATACTTGGATACCACTACCAGCTGATGTGTCACCTATAGAGGACAAACCCAACCAATTATTATCCCTGATACCTGTCCCATTTCCATTGCAAAAAGACTCGACACAATCAGAAACTGAGCCAGCTGCATGTAATATCCCTCAGATAAATTCAAACACATTAGAAACAGGTCCCTCTTCAACGAATTCACTCGCAGCAGCGTCTGCTGATGAATCCGCACCACTAGTGGATCCTCCTTCTCCACTGCCCTCACCAAATTTGGGAACAGGTACTCTTTCTTCGCCCTTATCTTTGTCCACGCCATATACCTCACCTTTCCCTATTACGCCTAATTCCCCATTACATAATTTTCCCTCATCTTCTGGTTCGTCAAATCCCCAATCGCCAGCCACGAATTTGTCGTTGTCTGACACTTCTTCCATTTTGCCTATTCCTAATATTGAAACCGAAACACTCGAAAATCAGTTGAACGTTCCGTCGAACGTTCCGTCCCCTGAATTATCTGTTTCAATTGATGAAGTTTCCTCTGGAATAGTCCCTCACGCATTGATACAGGGTGCTCCCCGTCATTCAATGGTAACACGTTCTCAGTTAGGGATTGTGAAATCGAATCCTCGCTATGCTCTTTTAACAGAGGTGGATACTTCAATTCCGAAGGAGCCACGAACGGTACGACAGGCCCTGGCACATTCTGGTTGGAAACATGCCATGGAAGAAGAATTGACAGCATTACACAATAATCAGACATGGACTTTGGTTCCTAGACAGGCAGGCATGAATATTATAGGATCCAAACTAAACTGAAACCAGATGGTACTTTGGATCGGTTGAAAGCGCGATTAGTTGCAAAAGGCTTTCATCAAATTGATGGTCAGGATTTTACAGAAACGTTCTCCCCCGTCGTCAAGCCTGGAACTATTCGAATGGTTCTTTCGATTGCTTTGGTTCGGCATTGGCAGGTACGTCAGCTTGATGTCAAAAATGCCTTTTTGCATGGGCATATAACAGAGGATCTTTTTATAGACCAACCACCAGGTATGATTGATTCCCAATTTCCCAATTTCGGACACATGTTGTGGTAAATATTGAACGAGGAGCTTTATATGGTTTGAAACAGGCTCCGCGAGCCTGGTTTGACAGATTGAGTAGTTTTTTAATTTCTTATGGTTTTTTTTGTAGTTTGGCCGACCCTTCCCTGTTCATTTTTAAGTCTACAC